CCCCAGATTGGCCACGGCCGAGATGTCTCGGCCACAGCCGAGATTCGCAGGCACTACCCTTCACAGGCAAACGCGAAGTCTCAAGAGTAGCCTACGCCGAAGAAGTGGGGGGCTCGGGGAGGGATGGGGGCCAAAAAAAAAAAAAAGTAAAAAAAAAAGTAAGGAAACGAGGAACTTGGAATCCACCTATGTCGGGAAGGCCCTCAGGTCACAGGTGCTTTGAGGAATGTATCTGGCCAGGAAGTGAGGAACATGAAACAGATAGATTTCCTTTTTTGTTTCTTGTTGTGAGGTCCCTGTAGCGCTCTGTCAGCCAGGCAGTTCGGATTCCACGCTTCATTGAGTTCCAGACAAGTACTGTAGCATCCTGTATCGGACCGCGATCACAGGATAAGGGATGTTTTTTTTTTTTGTTTATCTGCTGTTCGTGGATAGAAGAGGGCCCTGACGAAACTGCTAAAACGCAGTTTCGAATGCAATTACAAACTGTTTTGGTGACTGCGCCGAAGTTACCCCTTTTTTTAGTTACCAAGCTCGAAAGAGCCCAGTACTGTCATTTCATTTTTTCCGCAACGAAAATTGTGATGATGATGATTGCTGCTGCTGATAGCAATAGGCCATGCCTGATGATGATTGGTGGCCATAGATGGTGGTCGATGACGAGTGATGACGCCGTCATGATGATGATGATGATGATGATGATGATGATGATGATTGTGGTGATCCTATGATGTTCTAAAGCACAGCCAAAAAAAGGAGAAAAAAGGGTTGCTGGTCACTACCATCCTTGTTCCTCTGACCGGGAATGATTGAATGGCGGACAAGGGCATTTTGTGAATGTCTATTGCAAAAACATTGACATTGTTTGTCAGTGGACGAAGGCAGTCAACTACGTGACAAATGAATTCTCCCGGCCAAGCATTGCCCAACGCGTCCGTTGTTTTCACTGCAGATTAACAACACTGGAACTCATATTTCGATTTCATTTTTTCATAAATCCAAGAAGAAAGGCTCATTCCGAGCGTGTTGATTCTTCGCACTGCAGTTGTAAACATGCATCGTTGGCAGCAAGGAAACTAAACGAGGAAAAGGCATGTGCTTTTAGCTTCTCTCTCTCTCTCTCTCTCTCTCTCTCTCTCTCTCTC